TGTCAGCACAGAGGCCGACGCGGGGCTTGAACTCACGGACCTCGAGATCATGACCTGAGCCGAAGCCGGATGCCTAACCGACTGAGCCACCCAGGCGCCCCAGTGAATATATGTTTTTAATGAGCTTTTCCATTATTTGTGTTTAAATGAGGGCTGATACATGGCATCTTTTTCCCCTCACAATATGTAAGTAATGTTACATTTATACTAAGTCATTTGCTTACAAACCACCTCTCTTCTAACCTTTTTTTCAGCCCAGTATATGTCTGAGTTACCCTAAACATTCAGTGTCTTGGGTCCAGGGCCACATATGACTTTTGTGGGTGTTTAGGCACTTTTGCCCTCCTAGGCCTTTTCTTTCCTTTGTTAAAAAAAATAAAAAGATTTTTTTAAATGTTTATTTATTTTTGAGAGAGACAGACAGACAGAGGGTGAGTGGGGGAGGGGCAGAGAACGTGGGAGACACAGAATCTGAAGCGGGCTCCAGGCTCTGAGCTGTCGGCACAGAGCCGGTCGTGGGGCTTGAGCTCACAAACCGCGAGATCATGACCTGAGCAGAAGTTAGACGCTAACTGACTGAGCTACCCAGGCGCCCCTAAAGATTATATTTTAAAATTGCATCGGCACAAAGATGAACACAATCCAAACTGGATTAAAAATTGAAAACATTTTCTTTGACTCTAAAAGTTCATTTTTGTTCTTCTGACTTTAAAATAAATCAAAACATTTTGGTGGGCCTCTACAGCTGTCCTGGGGTGCCTGGCGGAGAAGCCAGTGCTTTGTGGGTCTGGTTAATGAAGCTCTTCCATAAAGAAGATGGGCACTGAAGCATGTGTTTTTAAATAATAATTTTCAAAGATAGTGTAATAATTGGGAGAATGATCATGGTATAATGTTAAATGAAAACACCAGAAATCAAAACTAGGAGTATGGCATGATCCCAATTTAAAAAATAAATCTGTACATCTACTTTATAAGAACTATCTTCAACATTAAGAGCAGTTCAGTGGATAATGGGATCATGGATGATTTTTTTCCCTTCCAATTTTCTAAAACTGTAAGAGCAGATACAGCTTTAAAAAAAAGTTAACTTTCTGTGCATCTATTTTTTTAAATGTTTTATTTGTTTTTGAGAGAGAGACACACACACACCTATAAATAACTACTACTGTGTTCGCATTTTGATATATTTTCTTTAATCTTTTCTGTATTCATATATGTGTGTGAATAAACACATTTAATAAATATAAATTTATTTATATTGAGCACGAGCTCAGCCATTGATCAGCTGTGTGACCTCATCTCAGCTCTCTGACTGACCTCCTTGGTTCTCATCTTTGTAAACTGGGGAAAAAATAAAAAACCCCAATCATGTGCCAGGGACAATAATATTTTCCACATTAATTCCATGTTAAATTCCATCTCTCCTCTCTGCATTCCTAGGACTTTAGCGTCTCCATTCCTAAGCAGGAAACACTTTTGAGTCTGGCTGAAGACAGTCTTTTCTGGAGTGAGGCAGACGTGGTCCAGGCAACTGATAACTTCAACCAAAGCCACAAAATCAGTGAGGGGACCTTTGCCGACATCTACAAAGGGCAAAGGCATGGCACGCCATTCGTCTTCAAGAAGCTCAGAGAGGCGAGCGCTTCTTTGTTTCTAGTAAGGGGTGGAGCCTGTATGGGTGAGGCTGAATTTTCATGTTTTCATTGTCTTTTCCCACAGGTGGCCTACTCAGGTCCGGGATCTATCGAAAAATTCTTCCAGGCAGAGGTACAAGTTTGTCATAGGTAAGCCCCCCCTTTGGAAATACCTTGTTTAATAATGATGACAGCTAACCCTTATATAGTGCTTTCTGTGTGCCAGGCATGTGTTAAGTATTACACATCTAAAAATTCACTTAATCCTCACGAGAACCTTGTAATGGAGCTGCTGTTATCAGCATTATTTTACACAGGGGCAAATTGAGGCCCAGGGAGATTAAGTGTCTTATTCAAGATTCCACAGCTAGTAAATGGCTGCATAGTCCGTGCTTTTTCTATGTAGCAACTATATGCATAGATTAGACTTATCACACAACCTTGGTTCACTTGGTCCAGCTCGTTCCTTCCATTTTTTGAGATGGGCAGAAACTGACGGTTTCTAACTCCAATGGCAAATCCATCTTAAAACTGTATTGCTCCAGAGCAAGAATTGGCAAACGATGACTGATGGGCTAGATCTGGCCGTGCCTGTGTTTGTCTGGTCTGATTGCTAAGAATGGGTTCTCCATTTTCGAATGGTTGAAAAAAAGAAAAAGAAGAATATGTCATGGCACATGAAAAGTACATGAAATTGAGATTTTGGTGTCCATAATAAAGTTGTACTGGGACACAGCCACACTTACCTATTTCTGTATTCTCTGTGGCTGTTTTTGTATGATAGAGTACAGCTGAGTAATTGTGACAGAGACCATATGGCCTATAAAGTCTAAAATATTTGCTATCTAGCCTTTTACAGAGATATTTTGCTGACCTCTAGTCTTGAACAATAAAGGCCTTCAAAAGTCATCCTGAAACCTGCTCCTTTTACAGATGGGAAACTGAGGCTGAGAAGTGAAGTGAGCCTGCCTGTCACAGAGCTGGGTGGGGATTGGGAAAGAAAAGGGGAAGGACCTAGGAAGACTCATTCTGGCTCTGCCGTCACTGATGAATTTAACAAATGCGTATCGGGCACCTGTCATGCTCTGGACGCCAGCTGTCATTCAACCTTGGCAAGTCACTGTCGGGGTTTCCTCTGCCAATGTGTAGCCTTGGGCGAGTAATGCATGATTACTGGAGAGTATTTTAAGAAATAAGGAAAATCAGGGGCGCCTGGCTGGCTTAGTTGGTAGAGCACACGACTCTTAATCTCAGGGTCGTGAGTTCAAGCCCCACGTTGGGTGCAGAGCCTACTTAAAGGAAAGAAAAAAAGAAAATCAGAAATAAGGAAACAGAAATCACCTGTTTTCCATAGCACCTGTAAATAACTACTACTGTGTTCGCATTTTGATATATTTTCTTTAATCTTTTCTGTACTCATATATGTGTGTGAATAAACACATTTAATAAATATAAAATATTTAATAAATAAATAAAAACATTTAATAAAAGATGAAAGTATAATTCCCCTTCCCATTTTGGCAAAGTGCCTTTCTTGAGTTGGCAGATACTCCTTCACTGAGTGGGCAAATGTTGAGTTGTCAAGGCCCTTTTTTGGCTCTAGAGAGTACAGTTGTGAAGAATACACAGCCCCTGCCTTGGGGAAGTTTAGGGTCTGGAAGGGACTGAGTGTAAATGACTCTCATTAGTGTGAAACGTGCAGTAGCATGGCCTGGGGAAGTGGGGGAGGGCAGAGGGATTGGATAGGAGGCCATTACAATAGTCCTGTGGAGTATCCATCAGGGCCTAACTCAAGGCAGAGGAGGGAGGAATGAAGGGGACAGTTGGAAAGCTATTTATGATGGTGAATGCTGACTAATTAGATAGGGAGGTAGGAGGGTTTCCACGAAACTGGATGGATAGTGGTGCCCTTTGCTGAGATAATAACCGTGGGCATGGGAGCAGGTTTGGGACTTGTTGAGTCTAGACTGCTAATCTGCAGCATCGGAATGCTGCAGACATTCAGGTCTGGACCTTAGGGACGGGCTGAAATGAGAGACGTTGGGACATTCCTGATACAGGTGGGAGATCCCTGGAGACACAGCTTATCAAACAAGATGATGAGCTGGGGATACTTATGCTTCAGAGGAAGGCAAAGGAGAAGGGTCTTAGGGAAAAAGGCCATGAAAGAACAGTCAGAGAGGTAGGAAGAGGGTCAGGAGGGAATAGTGACTCAGAACCCAGCAGAAGAGGATTTCAGGAAGAATCCAGTCCTGGGAGTCATACAGACCTGCGGTCTGATCCTAGCTTCACTGCTTGCTGGTTGTGACTATGAGCCAGTTCCTTAACCTCTCAGCCTCTGTTTCCAGAAGATGGGGTGGTTAAGATGTTATGTGCTACCAAGCAGTGAGGCAGGATAAGCTTGAGCTCCTTGACTTCAAGCTTGTTGAAGGCAGGCAGTTTTCATCTCTCTACCCTGATGCTCAACCCTCAGGGGTCACAGCATTTGGTACCTGGGAAGCCACTGGTGGCCTCTGAGGGGTAGGGGGCAGAAGAGGGGTGGGAGGTGAGGAAGTGGAGCAGTCTTTGGTTATTCTTTCTGTCTGACTCCTCATCTCTGCACTAATTCCTGATTTCAGATGCTGCCACCCCAACGTCTTACCTTTGCTGGGCTTCTGCACCGGAAATCAGTTTTACAGCTTGATCTACCCATATATGGCAAATGGTTCTTTACAGGACAGACTCCAGGGTCAGGTAAGGGGCTGGATCATGGTCAGAGAACAGGACCAGGTAACATCTAGGTAGGGACTCAAGGTTTAAGGACTTCCAGATGGGAGAGGGGCCATCCAGAGAGAATTTAGGTTGGGGTAGATAAGATCTGGCTAAACATCTTCAGATAAAAGCCTATACAAATTATTTGACAAGAGGCATTTCATTTAAGTCAAGAGCAAGACAAAGGTATCCCATAGCACTCATTTTATTTAACATTGTTCTGGGGGTGCTAGTCAATGCAATAGGACAAGAAAAATAATTAAGAGATACAGAGTATGGGAGAAGAGGAAGCAGATTTTTATTTGCTGAGAATGCTATTCTGTTTTTTTTGAAAGCTTCCAAGATTATTCAAAAAATTTTAGAAAACTATATCAGATTAAATAAGAAAATATTAATTTATATGAGAAAATAAAAATTTAGCCACTTTGCTTATTAATAAAAATGCAAAAATCAACAGTATTAGCCAACAGCACACCTATGCAACTTACAATAGCATCTCAGGTATAGCACTCTGTTCTTTTTTTTTTTTATTTTATTTTTTATTTTTTAACATTTACATCCAAGTTAGTTAGCATATAGTGAAACAATGATTTCAGGAGTTGATTCCTTAATGCCCCTTACCCATTTAGCCCATCCCCCTTCCCACAACCCCTCCAGCAACCCTCAGTTTGTTCTCCATATTTTTTAGTCTGTTTTGTCCCCCTCCCTGTTTTTATATTATTTTTGTTTCCCTTCCCTTATGTTCATCTGTTTTGTCTCTTAAAGTCCTCATATGAGTGAAGTCATATGATTTCTGTCTTTCTCTGACTGACTCATTTCACTTAGCATAATACCCTCCAGTTCCATCCACATAGTTGCAAATGGCAAGATTTCAGAGAATACTATTCTATTATATATTTGCTTCCATATTTATGGACTATCTCTGGAAAGATACAAAAAAACTGGTGTCTTGGCTACCTCTGAGGAAGTGAGCTAGGTAGCTGGGGCATGGGACAGGGGGAGAAACTTTTACTACATACCCTTTGTGCCTTTCACATATTATGTGAGCATCATACCTACTAAAATTACAGTTTTAACAACAAACAAACCTCCTTCCCGTCAAATCTTCAAATAGGGGGAAATTTTATTCCACAGGAGATTACTGCTTTCCTTAACAGAGACCAGACAAAGCAATTATTTGTGATATAATAATGATCATTAGCTTTATTGTGCTCTTGCTGTGTTCAAGACACCATGATAAAAGCTTCTCCTTCAGGCCTTGCCACAACCCAAGAGGTATCTCCCATTTTCTAAAAGAGGAGTCTTTGGGGCTCCTGGGTGGCTCAGTCAGCTGAGTGACTTTAGCTCAGTTTGTGATCTCATGGTTTGTGAGTTCAAGCCCTGCATTGGGCTTGTTGCTACAGCGCAGAGCTTGCTTTGGATCTTCTGTCCTCTCTCTCTCAGCAACCCCCTTCTCTCTCTCTCTCTCTCTCTCTCTCTCCCTCTCTCTCTCTCTCTCTCTCTCTCAAAAACAAATAAACCTTGAAGAAATTGAAAAGAGGAGTCTCTGGCATAGAGAGGCAAAGTGTCTTGCCCAGAGGAACAAAGCTGACAAGTGTCAGAGCCGGCATTTAAACAGGGTTCATGTGGCTCTAAACTTCAGAGGTTTTGAGGAGAAACCTGTTAGCAAGGCCAGTTCTTACAGGATGTGGGACCCAAGACGAGACTTGAAAAATAAGTAGTGACTTAGCCTGGACTTCCAGTCTTAGAACAACTGTGGCAGTGCCTGGGGATGGTGGGGGATTTAGCTCACCCCACAATCCCCATCAGCCCTTGTGAGGTCTCCCCAAATACACATAAAGTTGGTGTAAGGCCCATATGCTTGGTGAGCTAACACAAGCTCCCTAGCTCCTCTCCCAGCCATCCCCTCCTAGAGGAAAATTCCAGAGTTTACCACTCTATAGTCATGATAAAAATATGAGCACCCACTGTGTGGCAGACACTATGCTAGGGGCATACCATATACTCCTACACCATATCCTCCTTTGAATCCTTAGAGCAATCCCAAAGCATAGGGGTTTAACATTTAATAACATTTCCATTTTATAACTGAAGAAACCGAGGCTCAGAGACGTTGAGTGTCTTTTCCAAAGTCACACAGCTAATGCGTGTCTGAGCTGGGATTTACATCTGGATCTTCTCATGTTAAAGCTGGTACCCTGCCAGTATTCCATGCTGGCCAAACCCTGTTGCAGAGGAAGTGAAGGTCTGGAGGAGAGACAGGAGCTCGTTGGGACTTTAAAAAGTAACAGGCATAGGGGCGCCTGGGTGGCTCAGTCAGTTAAGCATCTGACTTTGGCTCAGGTCACGGTCTCACAGTTTGCGAGTTTCGAGCCCCGCGTCGGGCTCTGTGCTGACAGCTCAGAGCCTGGAGCCTGCTTCGGATTCTGTGTCTTTCTCTCTCTCTATCCCTTCCCGACTAGTGCTCTGTCTCTCAAAAATAAATAAATGTATATAAAAAATAAAAAGACACAGGTGTGACTCTCCTCTTTTTTCCTTTACTTAGGGTGGCTCGGACCCCCTTCTCTGGCCCCAGCGTGCCAGCATCTGCTCTGGGCTGCTTCATGCTGTGGAGCACCTGCACAGCCTGGAGATCATCCACGGCAATATCAAGAGGTGAGAGAGGTGGGCCACACCCTGCTGACCACCTGTGCTGCGGGGACAAGACAGCACACGTTCTTGTGTCCCTTCCTCTCCCCCCCCCCCACCTCTTTTCTCCGTGGCTCTCTCTCCCCATCTCACCTCCCTTGGGTCTCTTCTGTCTTTCTTTGTTACTGTCTCAAAAATCAGCGTCTGCTGTCCTCACGAACTACCCGTCTGTCACCCCGTCTTTTTGAGCTGGTGTTTTCCCAGCGAGCACCTCACATGCCGATGTATTTTACTTCCAACCCAGTAGCTGGTCTGGACCTGATCCTTGAGCTTTGGGTGGAGCCCCCTGGGATTTTGAGCTTTTCACTCAGGGTCTTCTTGGAGAACTGTCCCCTGCTTGTGTATCTGTTGGCAAGAGCAACTCATGTCAGGGAATCTTCCTGAAGGGTAGGTGTGCAACCCAGTATCTCATGCTCCCAAGAACACGAGAGACCAGTCTGGGGACTGGAAGCATGGGGAGAGATTCCAGAAGACACCGGAAAATCTGGCAAAACTGACCTCAAAACCATAGAACTCATGCTTCCTCAAAGTTCTGTGTTTGGCAAGTGGGATCCCTGTCCTCTTTTTTTGTCCCTGATTTTTGTTTGATTGCATAAACAATTGTAATAGCGAGAAAGGAAATGAAAGGGTGAGAGGTCATTCTGGCTCTGGCACCCTGACTCACACCTGGCCTCCATTTCTTCAGCCCTTGCCCTCACAGAAGTCTTAGCCTTAAGGGAGTACTGTTACTTGGTTACCAGTTCACATTTTCTTTTTCCCCCCTTTATTTAAACAAGGCAGATATTTCCCTTTATTGCTTGTCATCCTTTTTTTTTTTTTTTTAATTTTTAATGTTTATTTTTGAGAGACAGAGAGACAGAGTGTGAGTGGAGGAGGGGCAGAGAGAGAGGGAGACACAGAATCCGAAGCAGGCTCCAGGCTCTGAGCTGTCAGCACAGAACCCAACGTGGGACTTGAACCCATAGACTGTGAGATCATGACCTGAACCGAAATGGAATTGGGCACTTAACCAACTGAGCCACCCAGGCGCCCCTGCATTTCACCATTTTTAGTGACTTTTTAGTTTTCTGTTGAAGGATTTACCCATAATTTACTTAACCACTCCTAATAGTGGATATTAGAATTGATGTCTCTTTTGTAAACAACTATTTAGGGTTAATTTGATAATTTTCACACATGTAACTTAGTTGTTTTCTTGTTTGTTGTTTGTTTTTTCCTTTGAAGTACTTTCTGAGAATGTTTACTTCCACAGATTAGATGACTAGGCTCAAGAATGTTTCTTTTTTTTTTTTTTTTTTTT